TTACAGAGATAAGAAGTCATAGACATTAAAAGACAGTTCATCTTCCTCAGCTGCTGCTTCAACTGACAGTACCGTGCAAGTAGCTCGCTTTTCAGACTGATCAGTGGCATCATTTCAGTAACACACTGCAAAGATTTTGCATAAATGACAAGATAATCATGATAAAATAATAAATACAATAAACATGATAAAACAAACCCTCTGATAGTATTACTGCATTACCAGAGAGTGCTCGCAGCAATTTCCAGTGGAGTGGGGATGTCACCTCTCATCCGGGCTTTCTGTCCCTTCAACCTCTCACTGAAAAAGCCCCAAACCAAAGCCCACCCAAACAACTTGCTCTCTTCTTCCAGTCCTACCTCCTACAGAGAGGGTGCCCACAAGCTTTTACAACATTATTTTTTCCCCTTCCATTTCAGCTCTTTTGCCATGATTTCTGCACAGCAGGCATCGTTCCCCAACAAGATTCAAAGAGCAATGGACTGCCAAACCGAGGAAGAAGAAACCCGTGAAGAGCAGTATGACTCCGAAAACTGCACTTGCAGCTCCAAGCATGCATCACCAACAGCAGAATCCGACTCAGGTTTAATCCAATTTAAATACTGCAATTGCTATGGCATGCTAGCATTTCATACTTTCATTCTTCTCGGTCTTCAAATAGTAGATATCACCATGTCACTTTCCTTTTGATCTCCATTTCTTCTTCACCATCTCCCCTTATATTTGTATTTGTTATCAGATCAAATCTACAAAAAAGACTATCTCCGTAAGTAAGATGCATGTTTAAAAAGGTCTCTGGATTTTATGTAAACATCTAAGAAATATTTCTCACTTACCATCAGAGATATAATATGCGTTAATTGGGCTGGCACTGATGAAGCTGCATTACAAATTTCAACAGGCTAACCTGCTCAAACGCCTACCAAGGATTCCAGGCAGGCATCAATTAAAACCCCTGTAAGCCAGGGCAAATTTTTTTTCTTTGCAGTTAATTTTGTATCATCTATGCACATCCTGGTAACAGGCTTCCACCAGCAGTACGGTCATTCAGAAGAGAGCCCTTGTTTTCAGGGAGATCAGATGGAGCAGTTCAGCAGAGCTATCCCGAAAAATCTCACCTACAAGCCTACTCACTTGGATGAGGCATGCCCGCACAACTGTAGTAAGGACTTGCCAAACAGTGCCGTGTATGTCAACATATACCTAAAGAGTACCTTACAACCCTCCTTTTGTGAAAGAATGGTTAAAAAATAACCACTAAAAAGAGCTAGGTTTTCTTCAGCGTGAGAGGTAAATCCTAAATTCTTCTTTAGTAAAAAGAAGCTTAATGTTTTAGATGTATCGGCCCCACAAATGAAAACTACAGCACAAACTCCTACATGGCTTATTCTGGCGTACCCCAAAATACAAGCTAACTTGGTCCTGAAAGTCTTCTAGCTGTTACTAGAAGTTATATATTTGAGACAGTAAATTTTTCTAGAAGGCTTATTTCTATTTGTGAATTGCCCAGGCAAACCCTCAGAGTGGCAGGACATGACCATTGCTCCTTTTGCTCCCTGGCCAGCCAGACCATCCAATTCTGGCCGGCAACTAGTCCCAAGGGCAACAGGGAGCTTGACAGCTTTTCTAGTCCATGTGCCTATCTAGGACAAGAGGAAACGGTCTCAAGTTGCACTCCCCAGAGAGGTGGTGGACTCGCCATCCCTGGAGGTGTTCTAAAAAATGTTTAGAAGTGGCGTTTCAAGACATGGTTTATTGGGTTTAGTGGGCATGGTGGCGTTGGGTAGAAGGTTGGACTTTATACCTTTGAGGTCTCTTCCAACCATAACGATTCTATGTACTATTTCTGCAGAATACCTTTCATCCTTTAACAAGCTGCACATAAACACCCGCGAAGAAAAATACAAATTTTGTCTTTTCTCTCACAGATTCACCAGTAACTCTTAAAATACTACAGAACTGGGTTCCCAGAGTTTCACCCTACTTTGATAAAGATCACTACACGTACGCCGGCCACCAGATCGTCATTCAGGAGTCCATAGAACACTTCGGAGCTGTGGTATGGCCGGGGGTAAGTATGTGATACGGTACTCAGAAAGTTGACATGACAGAAGAATAAACCATGCCAGTGGCACACTAATATTGAAGAAGCTTTCTTAGATGGCACTTCTGACAGCGGAGGTTTCCCTATGCAGAAGTATTTCAGCAAAAAGCTCTGCCTTACACTAATTTGCCAGTTCACGCCGAAAGAACTGTGGCAGCTGAGTATTTGTAAATTGGATGTAGGTATTGAAAAAACAATTAAGAAAGGGAACTCAGGAAGAAGTGTTCATCTTCCTCCATGTTTCCAATCAGGCACTGCTGGGAAGTAAACAATCAGCAGGACAACAAGGAGGCTGGAAAAAGAAAATTTTGAGAGATTAAATAAAGGAGGTTAACATAATTAAATATGCCCCTTTTAAAGAACATGCTGGAGCAGTTCTTCTTCAGTCTTTGCTTCTGCTGCTCTTAAAAAGAGAATTCTATGTGGACTGAGAAAATTGCCTTTGAGGGAAGAGAAGGTCAACTGATAAAGACATAAAAATCAGGGTTTCAAAGTTTTTCAGATCCACATTTATTGAAAAAGCTCACAGAAAATGGCAGACAATTTCAAAACAATGGAGAAAAAGAACGCGTATGGGTGGCTGAAACAGTATCTTATTTTGAAATGTCAGATCATCCGCTCTCACATTAATCAGGTGTCAGAATGCAGACGGTAAAACTTTCCAAGCAAATCGAGAGGTTGCACAAACTGGACTGGTGATTCATTAGCTGTCAGCTTTCCCAGAGCAGGTAGCCAGTGTTGCATTATGAAAAGCACAAGAGTTAAAACAGCAACACAACTCTAAAGAAGAGAAGCAAAAGGGGGAAGTTAGTTTCTTTGGCATCGGTGTATGGGTTTTTTTTATAAACAGCTGATTTATCTTCTACTGATAAAATCTTTACAAAGGTCTGAGAAGCAATACTTCTGTACAATGCTGCTGATTTTGGTTGACTGGCTGGTTTGGTTTTTAAAGTTTGTACTATTCTCATTAAACAAGTGCTGAGTTGGTAAATAACAAACTTTTAATATTTCCTTTGCAAAAAAAAATTCAAACAAACAAAAAATCAGTTTTCAAAAAAATCTCTGCTGAAGCCTGAATCTACTTTATGATAGTGATAATAAACCAGAACATTACTATTTGCATATTGTTAAGCCTCTTGTTTGCTGTTCTGACTGTATGGCTCACATCTGAACACTGCCTACCTTGAGCTGTCAGAGGACTCACAGTGTACAGAATTGTGTAGCAAATCGATATTCCATAAGCCTAAAACTAAAAATAAGAAGTTTAATATTTATTCTATACATAAAAAACAGGACACATCATAATTCTTTCCATATTACATTTTTATGTTACAGCTTTCAGTGTTTTTCACTGTATAAAAAAAACCCCAAACCTGTATAAAAACATCTAATGAATTTTTGTGCAACTTACCTGTTACCCTCTTATGGATATGTGTTAACCCTTTTAGGCACTGGCTTTATCTCAATATCTGGAATCAAATCAAGAACAATTCAACCTCAAGGATAAAAAAGTTTTGGAAATTGGCGCTGGAACAGGCTTGGTTTCCATTGTTGTCCTTTATCTTAGGTCAGTAATTCCTTTTGGATTTCTTGGGAAAGATGATCTAGATCTGCCACTGTCACTTTAAGGCAATGAAGCAACAGTTGAAGTAAACTTTTGTTTGTCACTGCTTTTTTTTTTTAAATGAAAATTACTGTAAAATACTGTTTTGTTAATAAAATAACTACCCTAGTTATTGGTGAGGGGGAAGCTGGGGAGGTTATGTAGATAGAGGGTTTTTTTTTATATATATACATATATATTTATATATAGGTTCAACTACATACCTATGAACTGAAACAAATTCATGTTTCTTTAGGAGCTTATGTTACAGCTACTGACTTGCCTGAAATTCTTGAAAATCTCTCATATAATATTTCAAAAAATACACAACACATGAATACGCACAAACCTGAAGTGAGAAAACTGGTATGGGGAGAAAGCCTCGATGAAGACTTTCCTGCATCAACTTACCATTACGATTTCATACTGGCAACTGATGTTGTATATCATCACACAGCTTTGGACCCCCTGCTAGCAACAATGGCATATTTTTGTAAGCCAGGAACAGTATTACTATGGGCAAATAAATTCAGATTCAGTACAGACTATGAATTTTTAGAAAAATTCAGCACTATATTTAACACGACCCTTCTAGCAGAATTTCCAGAATCAAATGTCAAGCTGCTTAAAGCCACAATAAGAGAGGATTAAAGAGAAAACTGTTACTAATTTTGACTTCGTGGCAGCACCTTACAGTTTGGAATGCTTTGCAGCATTACGATGCACCTTCTGTGCATTTATGTTTGTAAAGTTGGAGTTGTATCTGAGTTTTGCATGACAAGTTATAAAAAAACTGGCCAGACAAATGATACAGCAATTTGTCTCCGGTCGATACACATGACCTGTTCGAATAGACCAATTTCACTCCACTGAAGGAACAAAGTTAGTAGCACCAGTTAGTAAAAAGGCTTTAACAGAAAGCATTGATCATCTGGGCTGCACTGAACTTCTGTGGTTTGTTGTTTTCTTTCAGCAAGTTTTGTTTATGTACTGTTTCAGAAACCAATACAATTTTTAGCGTCATTATTTGTTTTTATTAATTATAAAATAATCTTTTAAAGTATCAGAGTGCACATGGTGGTTTTTGATCTTCAACTTTGCACATTTATTCTGCTGTGTTTTACATTTTTAACATTATTAAACATATATGTATAGCTTTACAATACCTGATCAAGATTTAACTGTCTGGCACTTTTATACATGTATCAGCCTGTCCTGATACTCAACTTCACATGGATTTTTGAGTTTGCCTGAAATCACTCCAAAATGAAGATTTACAAGAGCACCTATGCATCAGCAATTCCGAGTTACACATTGTACCAGTTTGAGAGGTTGAATTTTTCTTAAAAAAAATTAAATGTAAACTCTTGCAAACAATACAGGTAATGATGTCCCATTACTTTAGTCTAATAAATAAGATTTCAGCTACTCTTGAAGTAGCTTTAAGGCCTTCATACAATTGAAATTAAGATCAAACATGTTAAAATTCAGTTTACTGTAAAAAATGCAGAGCTTTTACAGGTTTGCAGTTAAAAGTAACAGTTAAGAACCTAACATGCATGCAGTAAGCCTTCCCAGCCTAATTCCAAATCCTTGGTGTTGGCAGTTCTGGCACATCCATTGCCAGCAATGGGATGCACGATAAGGAAACTCCCTGATGACAGGAGTTAGGATAACAGGTATTAAGCTGTACCCAGGTGCTGTTACTGATAAATACACACAATTTAATAATCAGCATTCAGAAATGAAAACATGCGTTCCAATAAAAAGTCAAACTTATCTTTTTGTATCCTGCCCCATATAAAATCACTTTAAGTTTACAATTGTCGGTTTTCTAGAATACACAATAATCAGGTGGATACATGACAGGAAGCCAGTTTTCAGTGAAAGTTGCACAGTGAGTCCATCCAAGCAACTTCATTAGCTGAAGGAAAAAAAGCAAACATTAGAAAAAATGAGCAGCTCTAGGGTCTTATTCTTTTAAAAATCTAAATCCTTCCAACAAACACTGCATCGATATCAACATCTTACTAAAGATGTCTATTATCAGAAAGATAACAGACTGGAGAACTGGTGATCTTTGAATGACTTAGTCCTGAAAGGGGAAAAAGAAAACCATTCTATATGATCTACAGTCTTTCAACTCAATGCACAAAGATTTTGTCCTAGGAGTTACAGTAATTCCCATTAATTCTCCACCTATATTCTACTAGCAATAATTGTGATTAATAATAGTAAAAATAACAGCAGTTGCACAGCAACATAATTGGACTTTAAACATGCAGAAGGTATCTGTCTAAGTTGTCTCTACCTTCTTTACGCCCCAAAGAAAGTAACAGAAAGCAAATCTGCTAAACCTGACAGTTACTCACAAACTAGCTATTTTAGAAAACAAAAGAAGAAATCACTATTAAAAATGGAGGCCAAGCCACAAAAGCCTGGATAAAGTTAAGGTGTTAAGTTCAGCGAGTTCTACAATGTAAAGGTATCAAAAATTTAAAAAGACTTACATCTTAGTTCTTTTAAAGCTTACTCAGCGTGAACATAGCCCATTACTGTGCCAAATACACCTTACCTGAATGCAGTTTTTCAAGTTGTCCTTCGTTGGCTTCTCTTCTGCAAGTTTTGTGGCAAACTTGAGACCTCTCCCATACATTTTATTTACCAACGCATGCTTATAGGCAAAAGTCAAAACCTACAATGCGAAAACAAAGACAAATTAGATATTTTAATATTTTAATCTCACGAGGCTTAACAAGTAATAGCAGATTCTGTTCAGGTAGCAGAAGCGATTTAAACAAAGTAAAACATTTACACAAGGTAGCTTGCATTTTTCTTTGCAGTAAAACAGATGATTCACAGTAATAGTTATAAACATGAACTTCCTAGAGACTGTTTCTGACTTCACGAACATATTTGACTTCAGAACATCTTATGTAATATAGATGTCACTATTCTAATTTTTTTATTCATTCCATTTCTAGCTTCTTTGGATTTTCACCCTCTAGAGGCAACGGTATGGTATGAAAACAAAACAAAACACCCCAAGAACCAGGCAGGTATATTTTTGACCCATAGAAACAAAGACCCAATTGAGAGTTTTGATTTGTAGGAAGTCACAAACTTACTGCAGAAACAAGTATGAACGTACACAGTGAATGATATGAACACACACAGAGAAATGCACGTAATTATAAACAAGCAATGAAGACAGGTAAGCATGAAGACAAGCCTCAGGTTTTGGGTCAGCTCCTCAACTGCTGGTAATTTATTAAGAAAAGATTATCAAAAAAGCTTTCTCTTGATAATACTAATTCTAAAGAGATGGCTTACAATACTCGCCAATGCTATAACTAACATGTGCAAATGAATGTGTCCACTTAGGAGCTAATGGAAAATAAATCAAGTTCTTAACACCCAAACACTGCCAGTGTTTGGGGTGTTGCAAGATAGTTCATACCATTTCACCAGTTACAGCACTACCAATTGGTGTAATCAAGACATTGTTTTATATATTCCCTTTGGAACACTCATAGTAAATAGCTTTTAAAAAATTTTTTTACTGAAGAGTGACATAGCAGGAAAGTTGGTGAATATGGTGGTGTTTCTGTTGTTGGCAAAGTCTATGAAATCTTGTATTAAGAGTTTGCTCTCACTCACAGTATTTCTCCTTCCTCTGACTCCTCCATCAAAAGTCACATTTTCCCAATGTCCACTTAAAATATTCCATTAAGCTAAAAAAAAAAAACACTTCAAGGATGTTCAGAAAGAAATATTTTGTACTGCAGCAAAAAAAAAAATATATTTAAATATTTCTCAAGAATACAAACATGAAGGAATCCAAGAACCAAATCCTGCAAGGACTGAAGAACCTGCCTAATTTGTAGCTGCCTGAACATTCCACTGAATGTTAATCACAAGCAGGAGCCTTTGCAGGATCAATACTTAAAAGACTGAGCTAAAAAAAAGAAATAACAAGCTTAATTATCAAATAAGTAGAGGTGTAATTTTGAAGCTCTAAAGTACATGCCAAGCACTCAGAGTTGCTCATTCTTCTTCTGTCTTCAAGTACTTATTTTGTTGTGTTTGAAGTATTCACTTAAGCTATTGTAGCTTAAAACACACACATATATGCAACAATGAGCATACAGCACCATTCACATATAGATTTTCCAAATATTGCTATTGGAAAAATACTTTGCATGCTGCCTTCTCAATCCAATTATTTCAGATATTTTCCTAAAGCAAAACACATTAGCAAACACTTCTGAATAACTGCTCAGTGGATCCATTAGCAGATTTAGTTGGTTAAACTAATATTTTTTTTTTTTAAAAAAATCTCTTCTGTAAAAGATGATAGAACCACAAAACAAAAACAAAACAAAACAAATCAAATGAAAAATGCATTGGAGCTCTCAGCAAATATAACATATCGGAGGCTAACCAGAAATAATGTCACTGCTCTATTAAGAAAGCTCTTACCTGACCCTGTAAGTTTTGAATGGTTATTGAACATCAGTGATAAAGGCAGGAGGAAAGCCACTTGACAGCATTTCTTTCGTAACAGGGCTTCCTAGAGTTTTTGTGGCAAGAAAACAAAGCATTTTACGAAACACCCTTGCTCTGGCCAAATAAAAATTTGGGTATTTCTAAATGAGAAAAAAGTTCTCTGTTGGACCAAAAGGTTGAAAACAATGCTCCAAGAGCTCTTGATAAAAGACAGTAATTTCTGCCTTAGTGTATGGAAAAAAAAACCCAATCACCTTGTATACAACTTAAGTAAAACTATTAAAAGTATATTAGCACTTCAGAAGTTAAAGTCTAATGCATGAGATGCTTTAAAAATCAGAATAGGTTTACAAACAAAAAATGTTAGATAAGAAATAATACTTTATAACTTGTACACATATTGGTCAAATTAAGCCTTATAATTAAAATACTGCAAGCTTTACAAGATCACAGAAGTGAAGATTATGATTCCTTGGTATGTGTAAATAAAATGTTAACTGGACTGCTATAAAGAGAAAACAGCTGCTATCTGAATGCATAACAACAGCAAATAAATTTGTAGTATCTAAAAGCAATTGCTAGATGAAAGAATAGGAATGAATTCTAAGTATTTGATAATATTTCATTATTTCAAAAAATAGAATTAAGGCCAGCTTTTACACAACAAGTGATATGGCCCAGAAATTGGCCAAAGAGCAATAAACAAGGGGTAGTAAGAAAAGGCAATGCATACTTCTAGGATATCGGAGCGGGGGGAAATCACTGTTAGATACTTTATTCCCCAAGCTAATGGCCTGTAATATTAAGTGTGCTAAGAGCCAGACCCATGAAAATCGTTCGACGTCCATCTCTTAATTAGTGGCCTAACTTACCACTGGCTACATAAAGATGCATATTTAGGGCAGCAAAATGCTGATACGATCTCTCCCAAGACATTTGCAGGGCTGAAGTATTAAAAGCCTGAAAACACTCTTTTAAAAAGAATGTTCTTTATTCCAGCAACACTAAACTACCCAATAAAACTGTATCCTAACACTGTTACCTATGAAAAGGAAAACAGACTGGTATAATCACTTACTTCATTAGTTAAACAGCTGATTAAAATGTACCTACATTTACAAATAATTAAAATACTTGGCTAAGCAATATAATCTATAGATAACACACTCCAACTACTTGTAAGAACACTGAAGTCATAATGTTTATAATTACCAGAAAATGAGTTTTTTCAGGTTTATATACATCCATGGTAATAAACTAAGGTTTCTTAGCTACCTTTGTTGACTTCTCTCTGCTCTATCAACCGGCCTATTACAAACAAAACCAATATTCATATAAAAAAAAAATTGGCTCACCGTATTTTCAAGGGAGGAAGGGGAGCTAAGGGAATCAAGTAGCCAGCAACAAGTTTTTGGCAGTGACCGAATATGATCAGCTGGAAGAGACAGCTGCATCCAACAGTGTGGACAGTAATATGAAAAACAATCCAGGCTAAAGACGTTTAAAAGATAAGATGGAAAGGTCTGGGCCTTTTATTTGTTTTTAAACTTATTTTTAAACATGACTCTCTGCTTTTCTCCAACAGCTAATTTAAAGGTTGAGGGGCATTAAATTCTACAGATGAGTCATTCCCAGTAACAAACAGGCAACATCCTACTACTCTCCTGTAGCAATTTTGTTTAAAACTGGGGATTTTGGCCTACAAATTTTAAAGCTATGTTCTAGGTAAAAGAAAAATTGCACAACTTCTATTTAATTACTAAAAACCCTAGAGCACTATCACAAATGTGTTAGTGATAGTTAGCATAATCAAACACACACTTGCTGCATAGAGCTGTCTCAACTGGAATATATTTGAAACCCTTTTGTGTACACAGTGGACATAAATATTTTCTTTCATGTTTCATTTAAAATAAACCTTCAGAGAAAAGCGATCTAACTAGAATAACTAAAAGGGTGAACAAATGCCTTCCACTAACGAATGCCCTATGGCAAGCCAGGTGCTACACCTGCAGAGGAGAGGTGAAACAAGTGACAGGACTTGGTTTACTAGTGGGTGAGCAGAAACACACAGAAGAGTGATGATGTTCCCAATTCATCCGTAAAAACAACACAGAAGAAAACACCGTCTCTCTTCGTCTTCAAAAAATTTGCTTAGTCTTTTAACTACTGACATCTGGATGAACTCTGACTTATAGGAAGCTTAGAAGTAAAAAACACTTCGAGTCATATCTAAAGCCACATATATATATACACCTGAAGGACCAGTGCAGTATTCAAGTGCGTTATTTCCCTCCTTTCTCACCCAGTTGTTCCATCTTTCGAGTGCCATACCACAAAGCCACGTCCATATACAGGAAGAGCTCCACATTTTGGTTTCCAACATAGTGCTTCAGAATAAGCTCGCTGCCTCTTGAGGACTCTCATTTGAAAGACATTCGCCCGAGGTCTATCTCCTATCCCCTTTACTCCAACTCTACTCTTCCTCCTTCCAAACCTCTTCTGTTCCCCAAAAGGCAAATGAATTATGCCAGGTTAGGTAACAGAACCAAGTCACAACACTTCATTTTATCAGTCCAGTCTGAAGTAAGTCCAGAGTAGCATCACAGAAAGGCCATTAAAGCTTTAATTTTTTGTTTTCTATCAAGGTGAATTTTGCCAAGCACAAGTCAGCTGGACTGAAGAACATTCTCAACACTTTTGCCCTTACCCTAGCAAAAATACTTGTTTCTTAGACAAAACCTTCTTTGAAGCCTTAAACACTACTTCACAAAATTAAGTCCTCAACATTGTTCCTAAACTCCTCATCTCAAAGAATGCAATCTAGGTGAACAGTACTGTTCCCGTTAAACAGTCAAAACTCCAAATTTCCGTCTAACAGTCTGTAAAATAAAATTATTTGCACTAAGCTATTCAATTTGGTTTTAAAATAACAAAATATTCCAGAAGTACAACAGCATATTGCATGCAACACCAAGGTGGAGATTTATACTACTGTTTCTTCCAAATAGACAGAAGAAGCTGTAAAAGAGGAAGACCAAAGGACAATGCAGATATTTAAAACATTCTTTTGGGCCATCTCTAGGGCAGAGGACATTTATTTTTATTCAAATAGGAAGCTGAGAGAGCTTTAAGCACAATGCCACTGACAAAACTTGTCAGTCGTTATAAATAAAAATGAATGAATACTGATCAGACAGCTTGAACATCAGATGCAGTTTGGCAGAGTTGGGTGGAATGAAGGAACTGTAAAATAGTAAGTTAATTTTTGAAGAATAGTTACAGCCTGTGACACACATGTACAGCTATTCTCACAGTTTACAACAAAGACAGCAGGACTATAACTGTAAATTTTTTTCTTATGCTTTTTTGTGTCAGGCCATATCAAAATTACGTAGTCTTAGCCTTTAATCGTGACTCCTAAAAAGCTAAATGAAGCATCATTGGGTCCTCATCATGTATTCAGGATTTTGAATGATCAAAGAACATTCTATCATTGGCTGGAAACTGCAGTGCTAACAACTGAAACAGCTGGTCTGAATAGTGAGATTGCTAACTATGGCCAGTTCCTAAGAAAACTACTAGATGGACACGACACCTGTTAGTAAAAGAAATGAAAGAATATGAACAGCAGCAAGCATGAAACTTCTAGGAAGCAATAAAGGAAAAACAAAAAAGTTTTTTCTCTATTGAAAATAACTCCCTTTGCCCTAGCCCTTCTCTCCAAATCTTGGGGGGGGGGGAGATCAGGGTGCATTACTATCTCCTTTCAAAGCAAAATTCTCAAACCCATCAAGGCCCAAGTCACATTAGTCTCACTCCTCATCCCTTTCAAAGAGTTTCGAGAAAAAGAAACCTCAAAAGATAAAAGTGAACACCTAAAAGTCTCAGTTCCAATAGTCACATGAAAGCTTTAAGTAACAGTATGCATTTCTTTCCCTGCAAACTTTTGTTTTTTGCGTTATCTATAGGTACTGCTGGGATTAGAATTACTTAACAGTACCACGGGAGAGATGAGAGGATACATCCATCATGTGATCTTTAGACACATTAAATGGATAGCTAGCAAAACTAACACTACATCATTACTGACCAACATACGTGCTCCTAGATCACAGAAAGCATGAAGAAAACCACCAGAGAAACGAGTGAGCTACACAAATTACTTGCCAAGCAGTCACTGAATCACAAAATGTTTGAAGGTGGAAGGCAGCTCTGGAGATCGTCTGGATCCTATCTGATGAAGTTTTCACTACCTGCAAGGACTGAGACTTCACCACACCTCCGGGCAACCCATTGTAGCATTCCATCATCCTCACAGTAAAAAAACCCAAACCTACTTCCACCCCTGTCCGCTCCGCT